TCTGGGAAACTGTACATGCCATCGATTTTATTTTATTTTATTTTATTTTATTTTATTTTATTTTATTTATTTATTTTTTTATCCTCACCCGAGGACACATTTTCATTCTTTATTCAGATCGAGCAGGAGGGAGAGAGAGAGAGAGAGAGAGAAACATCGACGTGAAAGGGACACATCGAGTGGCTGCCACCCTCACGACCAACCAGGCCGGGGACAAACTGCAACCGAGGTACATGCCCTTAGCGGGAACCGAACCCGGGTCTCTCCGGACCGCAGGCTGACGCTCTAACCGCTGAGCCAAACCGGCCAGGGCCATGCCATCGATTTTAAATGGTAGCTTTGCAGGATAGAGTAATCTTGGTTGTAGGTCTTTGATTTTCATCAGTTTGAATATTTCTTGCCGCTCCCTTCTGGCCTGTAAAATTTCTTTTGAGAAATCAGCTGACAGTCTTATGGGAGCTCTGTTGTAGGTAACTAACTGCTTTGCTCTTGATGCTTTTAAGATTTTCTCTTTGTCTGCCCTGGCTGGTTTTGCTCAGTGGTTAGAGCGTTGGCCTATGGACCAGAGTCCTGGGTTCGGTTCCTGCTACGGGCACGTACCTCGGTTGCAGTTTGTCCCTGGCCCCAGTTGGGGTCGTGTGGATGGCAGCTAGTCAATGTGTGTCTCTCACATCGATGTTTCTCTTGCTCTCTTCACCCCTCTCTCCCTCCCGCTCTATCTGAATATAAATGCAAAAAATGTCCTCGGGTGAGGATAAAACATAAATAAATAAATAAATAAATAAATAAATAAATAAGATTTTCTCTTTGTCTTTAACCTTTGATTACGATGTGTCTTGGTGTGAACCTCTTTGGGTTCATCTTGTTTGAGACTCTCTGTGTTTCCTGGACTTACATGTCTGTTTTCTTGATCAAGTTAGGGAAGTTTTCTGTCATTTTTTTCAAATAGATTTTCATTTTCTTGCTCTTTCTCTTCTCCTTCTGGCACCCCTATGATGTGAATGTTGGTATGCTTGAAGTTGTCCCAGAGGCTCTTTACACTGTCCTCATTTTTTTGAATTTCTTTTTTCTTTTTGCTGTTCTGATTGGGTGTTTTTGCTTCCTTATATTCCAAGTCGATGGTTTTCTTCTTGGCTTTACCTACTCTACTATTGAATCTGTGTAAATTATTCTTTATTTCACTTAGTGCTTCCTTCATTTCTGACTGGCCCTTTTTTATGCTCTTGAGGCCCTCACTAAGTTCATTGAGCATCCATATAACCAGGGTTTTGAACTCTGCATCTGTTAGATTGCTTATCTCCATTTCATTTAGTTTTTTTCCTGGGGTTTTGTTCTGTTCTTTCATTTGGGACATGTTTCTTTGTCTCCTCATTCTGTCTGCCTCCCTGTGTCTGTTTCTACGTATTAGGTAGAATTGCTATGTCTCCTAGGCTTGGTAGGACAGTCTGTTGTAGTAAGTGTCCTGTAGGGTCCAGTGGCACAGGCTTCCTGATCACCCCAGCTGGGCCCTCAAGGTGCACCCCTAGTGTGGACTGTACACCCTTCTGTTGTAATTGAGTCTTGATTGCTATTGGCACATCAATGGGAGGGATTTACTCAGGCTGATCAGCTGCAAGGACTGGCTATACCCACTGACCACTGACCACTGACCTCTGACCACCTTGAAGGATCAGCTGTGTAGGGGCCCACCACACAGAGCAAGACTTACTTCAGCAGGGCTCTGGTACCCACTGAGTCCACTCCTTGAGGGTATTGCTTGTGGAGGTGGTGGTTGGTGGTTGTGGCTGGGAGAGACAGACTGCAACGCACTCGGAGGATTAGAAAAGGACTGTTTAATGTGCACTGGTGCTGTCCCAGCCCAGAGGAGTCACCTCCAAAGGCTGAGCCCAGAGCCTGGGTTTCAGCTGTTTTTATACATGATGAGCCTCCGGGCATTTGGGGGTCTTCTAGTTCCACTGTAGTTTAAGTGGTTGGGAATTACAAAAGCCAAGGGTGGGGTTGCTGCATTGCCTAAGGGGCTGTACCTAGCTTGCCTTCTCACAAAAGTCAGGGGTGGGGTGAGGGGGAGGCCTTTGCACTGTGAGATAAAGGGATTGTTTGTATCTGGCTTGCCTTCTCATGGTGGTGCTTCTCCATGATCTGAAGCTGTCCACTGGGTGTGCGAGCTCTGGCTGGGGTAAGGTCAGCCACTGCCTGTGTTCTATCCGGGGCCACCAGACATAAGCTACAAAGCCATCTGTAGATGGCTGCTTCTTGTGCTGGATTTGGAGGTGCCCAGGCAAAGCCAAGTTGTGAACCAAGGCTGGCTGCTCCTGGTGCCGGGCCTGGGACCACTTAGTGAGAGGTGTGGGGCTAGCTGAGACCAGATGCTGCTTGTTGGAGAGAATTTAGGAAAATCTGAAGTAGGAGCCAAGACAGGCCAATCCTATGATAAAGCCACTGGAAACAGCTTGGGTGGGCCTGAAAGTTGGGCAGGGCCTCAGGGAATCACTAGGGTAGGGCAAACGTGAGCCAGGTTGCTGGAGTCCCAGATATGGTGCCTGTCTGCTGGTCCCATCGGGGAAGGGCTCACCAAAGGAACAGTGGCCTCTGCCAGCTCATCTGTCCAGGAGAAAGCTGCCTCTCCAGCTCTCGTCCCAATGCCAAACAACTCAGTTCTCCATGTTTCTCTGGCGCCTTTCAAGCTGCCTTTCCCATGCTGGAACCTGGAGGGTGTGAGTCTGAGTAAGTTTGAGTCCTGGCCTTTTAGGAGGAACTGCCTGGCTCTGGCTGGTTTTCTCAGTGGTTAGAGCATCGACCTGAGAACAAACGAGTCCCGGTTCGATTCCAGTCAAGGGCACGTACCTTGGTTGCGGTTTGGTCCTGGCTCTGGTCAGGGTCCTGTGGGAGGCAACCAATCATTATGTCTCTTACATATATGTTTCTCCCCCCCCCCCCTTCTCTCTCTCCCTCCCACTCTCTCTATCTGAAGATAAAAGGAAAAATATCCTCAGGTGAGGCTTTAAAAAAAAAAAAAGAGAGAGCCCTGGCCGGTTTGGCTCAGCGGTTAGAGCGTCCACCTGCGGTCTGGAGAGACCCGGGTTCGGTTCCCGTTAAGGGCACGTACTTCGGTTGCAGTTTGTCCCCGGCCCTGGTTGGTCGTGCGGGTGGCAGCCACTCGATGTGTCCCTTCACGTCGATGTTTCTCTCTCTCTCTCTCTCTCTTCCTCTCTCTCCCTCCCACTCTATCTGTACAAAAAATGGAAAAATATCCTCGGGTGAGGATAAAAAAAAAAAAAAAAAGAGAGAGAGAGAGAGGAACTGCCTGGGACTCCAGCAGCCTCAGCCTCCCTCGCCTCAATTCCTGCTGGTTTTTCCAGCTAGAAGTGATGGGGACTTCTCTTCCTGGCACTGGAACCCTGAGCTGGTGGCCTGGTGTGGGACAGGGACCCCTCAGTCCTCAGGGAGGACCTTTGCAGCCAAGGTGTCCCTCCTGATTTTTATCTGCCACACATGGGTGTGGGAGCAGCCTGTCTGCACCTCTGCCCCTCCTACCAGTCTGGATATGGCTGCCGCTTTAATTTTGTAGTTGTAGGACTTCCATTCAGCTCGATTTCAGGCGGTTTTGAATGATGGTTGTTCTATAATTAGGTGTAATTTTGATGTAGTTGTGGGAGGAGGCAATACCACATTTACTATGCCGCTATCTTGACCAGAAGTCTCCTTTATTAAATTTTAGAGAGAGAGGAAATGAGAGGGAGGAAGAGAAAAATCGATGTGAGAGTGAACCATTGATGGGCAACCCCTCAGTGCACAGGGTGATGCCCAACCAACTGAGCTACACTGGCCAAGGCTGTGTACTTTATTTTTAACTTTAAAAGGTGATCATTACATATCAGTACCTGAAAAACTTCCTTTGTCATGAATACTTTTTTTATTTCTCATAGTATTTCAATTTACCTTTTTTATTGTACTTTAAAAAAATCCTCACTCAAAGATGTGTTTATTGATTTTTAGAGAGAGACAGAGACACATTTATCAGTTGTCTCCTATACGTGCCCCGACCAGGGATTGAACCCGCAACATTTTGGTGAATGGGACAATGTTCCAACCAACTGAATCACTTGGCCAGGGTACAATTTATATAATTAGTCCTATGTTACTGGACATTTAGTCTGTTGCCAGTCTTTTGCTACTCCAAACAATGCATCAGTCAGAACCCTATTGCATCATATCAGGAGGTACACATTATTTGGTTGTTTCTTTTTTGTGTGTGGTAAATTTGATCAATGGATTTGGGAGTGGTCAGCTTGATTCATTGTTTATAGAGTTCTCTTTTAGAGGGATCTCTATATTTTCTCCAGCCTTTTGCCTAAGTTTTAGCATCCGTTGGTGATCTTGCTTAGATCCATTACTTTATCAGGAGTTGCAAAATGGTGAAATTCTAATTCCGTCATTACTTCTGCATTTATCAGTTGGCATTCTTCTTTAAAGAACTGTCCTTTATCAGCTGTCGTTGCATATGTAGCTGAATTCATAATTATTTTCTTAGGGTTGGCTCCTGTAAGTTGAATTGTCTGGGCAAAGGGTTTCTCTTCTTGAAGCCTTTTTATAAATATTCTGAAATTACTCTTAAATATGTGATATTAGCTTACACCTCCACCATCGTTATATGAGTAAAATATTATTTGCAACTTGTAAAAATAATTATGTAAAACCTCAGATATGGGCAACACAGTAAATGTCTTTGTCAATCAGAACTGTTGTTGCTTGCCTTTTTTCTTAGAGATTGTTAGTGTGACTTTGAAAATACTAGTGTTTCTAGTCTGTTTGCATTAAACATGTATTAATTTTGAAATTAGAAGGATGGTTAAATAATGTTGTTAGTAAAAAAAAAACAAAACAAAAAAACCCAAGAACTTCATTTTTGTAGTTTGACTATGTATATTAACTATATTTCAAAATATAATAGCCCTCTTAGCTTAAATAATTATAAAAGTCTAATGGTTTTTCCTTTTCAGTGACATTGCTGGGGGCAAACCCCTGGAAGTAGAGATGGAAGGAATAGAATACATGAATGATGATCCTGGCATGGTGGATGTTCTTTATGCCAAAGTTCATATGAAGGATGGCTCCAACAGGTATGTTTCTGGAATACTTCTTTGTTTCAATCAAGAGGTACCTAAAAGCATCCCTGGAAGTTCAACTAGTTTTTTTTTTTTTTTTTTATCCTCACCCGAGGACATTTTTTTTTTTTTTTTTGCATTTATCTTCAGATAGAGCTGGAGGGAGAGAGGGAGAAAAAGAGAGAGAGAAACATTGATGTGAGAGAGACATATCTAGTGGTTACCACACACACAACCCCAACCGGGGCTGGGGACAAACTGCAACCCAGGTACGTGCCCTTAGCGGAACCAAACCCGGAACTCTGTTCCGGGGGCCTACACTCTAACTGCTGAGCCAAACCGGCCAGGGTGGAAGTTCAACTAGTTTTGATTCCTTTTCATGTTTTTTTTTCTTTTTATTTTTTTTTATCTTCACCCGAGGACATTTTTTGCATTTATCTTCAGATAGAGCGGGAGGGAGAGAGGAAGGAAGAGAGAGAGAGAGAAACATCGATGTGAGAGAGACACATTGACTGGTTGCCACCCACAAAACCCCAACCAAGGCTGGGGACAAACTGCAACCAAGGTACATACCCTTAGCGGGAACCGAACCTGGGACTCTCCTGTCTGCAGGCCGACACTCTTAACCACTGAGCCAAACCGGCCAGGGCTGATTCCTTTTCTTTAAGATCTTATTATTGCAAAGAGTGTGTCAATTCTTTCCCTCTCTCTCTCTTTTTTAAAAATAGTAAACATATTTTAAAAGAGGAGTTTGTTGTAGGAAAAAGTATTTTAGTCTGATAATTATTAAGTTATTTGAATGGTGGATATTGACAATAGCAGTCTAGTTTTCATGGAATTCAGTGCTTTTTTGATGTTTTCCAGAATAATAGGCAGCAGGAAGGATAGCATTTTAGGATGTTAGTTACAAAAGTGAAATAATGCAGATCTAGTGAATACCTGGACAAAATGGTGATAATAGCTATATAAACTTTTTAAGATTATTAGGATTGAGTTAATCTATATAAAATGCTTTAGAATAGTGCTTGGCATATACTTACTCATCAACACACACATCAAAAAATATTTAGCCCTGGTCATTGTAGTTCAGTTGGCTGGAGTGTAGTCCTGTACAAGGAAAGGTTGTGTGTTTGATCCCCAGTTAGGGCGAATATGAGAAGGCAACCAATCGATGTTCCCCTCTCTCTCTCTCTCCCCCCCCCCCCTTCCTCTCTCTCTAAAATCAATAAGCATGTCCTTGGGTGAGGAAAAAAATGTTTGCTATTTTTTTAATTTATGTTTATTACCACACCTAGATTCATTTCAGGGTTTATCAGTCTGCAACCCAGGCTATTACTGAGGCCACACTAGGCATTTAGAACAGTTTTAGGCCTGTGATGAGCAATGGAGTCCGACTTGAATTAGTTTGTTTTTGTGTGATCTTTTCATTAGGGTAACAGAAAGAACAGAGCTCACACTGAAACCAGAAATTGTCTAGAGAAAACTTTTGTCTCCAGTCAGGGCCCCAAATTGATTTTTTCCCTAGATGATCTCTTGTAAGGTTTTTTTAATAAAAATTTGAATTGATAATCTCAATTATCTAGTATCTCAGTTCAATAGGAAGTGAATTTGAGGGAAAGGGAGGAAAAAAAGTGGTATAACACTACTTTTTGTGTGTGTTCTGCACCAAGATTTTTACCCCTAGATACCTGGCATGTGCCTAAAGGGCATACTAATGACCCTGACCTAAAAACTAGGGACACATTATTACTTAACAGGAGATCATATACTAGGACATTTTTAACATTTCTATCAGGTTAAAATTTGATACCTGTATAGATAATTTATTTTGTGATCCAAGTCATAACTATCCACATTCCTTCACCATGTTATGAAACTACTATATGTGGGATGGATTACTTTTGAACTTTGTGAGCAGAAACAATGAATAAGATAGCAGTTATCAAACTTTTTGGTCCCATAATCTCTTTAGTTTCTTAAAAATTATTGAATACCCCAAAGAGCTTTTGTTTATATAGGTTATATCTATAAATATTTACTTCATTAAAAATTAAAACTGAGAAATTTAAGATTTGTTAACTCATTAAAATAATAGTAGTAAATCCTGGCCATTTTGGCTCTGTGGTTAGAGCGTCGGCCCACGGACCAGAGAGTCCTGAGTTCGGTTTCCGCTAAGGGCATTTATCTTGGTTGCAGTTTGTCCCCGGCCCCGGTTGGGGTTATGTGGGTGGCAACCAGTCTGTGTCTTTCTCACATCATTGTTTCTCTCTATCTTCCCCTCTCTCTCCCTCCCGCTCTATCTGAAGATAAATGTCCTTGGGTGAGGATTAAAAAAAATAGTAATAATATAATTTATTTTTATATAAATAACATTTTTCTTGAAAAATTACTCTATTTTCCAAACCAAAAAATTTTAGTGAGAAGCTAGGCATTGTTTTACATTTTTGTAAATTTCTTTAGTAGAAGACAGTTGAGTTCTCTTATCTGCTTCTCTGCTCACTCTATTGTGATATGTTGTTTTGATCAAATTATGTAAGAAAATCTGGCCTTATGCAGAAATGTAGTTGGAAAGTTAAGAAGTACTTTAATGGTCTGTCAGACAATTGTGGATATTTGATATTACACTGAAACTTGAAGGTCAGTTTCTTTTTTTTTTTAAGGTCATTTCTTAAAGGTCAGTTGTAGTATGAAATCTGAAACTATATGAATGAACATTTCATGCTCTGTTACATTAAAATCCATTGGTCTTTCTTATACTTTGCCTGGATCTTTAACTCATGCTTAATTTTGTAACATTGATCATTTAGAAAATGTTTCACAGAGTTATGCAGATCTTCCAAATGTTGACACATTTCATTATGCAATATTAAAAGTACACGTTGCTCTGCCGGTGTGGCTCAGTGGTTGAGCGTTGACTCATGCACCGAGAGGTCGCTGGTTCGATTCCCAGTCAGGGCACATGCCCAGGTTGTGGGCCTGATCCCCAGTGCAGGGCATGCAGGAGGTGGCCAATCGATGTTCTCTCTCATCGATGTTTCTATCTCTCTCTCCCTCTAAAATCAATAAGGGGAAAAAAAAATACATGTTAAGGCACGTACCTGGGTTGCAGATTTGATCCCTAGCCCTGGTTGAAGTTGTGCAGGAGACAACCAAGCTATGTTTCCCTCTCTCCCTTTCTCCCTTTCTCCCTCTCTCGCTCTCCCCACCACCCTCCCTTCCACTCTATCTAAAAAAAAAATCAATGGAAAAATATCCTCAGGTGAGGATTAACAACAACAACAAAAGTACATGTTAATATCACCACTAGTTTTATAAAAATCTTTAATTATTGGGGAGCTGTCAAGCTCTTGTTGGCAGATACATGTTTTCTAAAACTTAGATTTTCATTTGAATGCTTGAATTTCATTATTGGCTGAAAATACTGGTGACTTTTTTTCTTTGAAGTTCTTTTTTGAAAAAAAAATTCTGCTAAATAGCCAAGTCTGAATAAGTGTAATTTGTCTGACAGTTATTCTGTCAAGTAAAAATTGTATTACATGGACAAAGAAGCTAGTTCATCTCACAACTCAGACAACCCCAAAAGTGCTTTTCCTCCAGACAGCTGTCTATCAATATACAGCCCAAGTGCAGGAAAGATTTTTCAACACCAGTCCAGGTGATAGGACAGGAAAGATTTTGCAATACAAGTCCAGGTGATTTTTAGAGGACGTTTATTCAAGCTGGGGACAGTGAAACAAGGAAGCGCCTAGGATAGAGCAGCAGCTGGAGACAGACTAGGTGGGGAAATGAGCCTAGGCTGGGCTGCTTTGGCTCACCAAGAAGTCAGAGAAAGGGGACTTGGGGACAGGGTCAGGTGGTTAACCCTGGAGGAGCTGTAGCTGCCCATTGCTGCCCTGGTTGCAAGTTTCATGGTGTCCCTTAGAGTTGAGGATATGCATGCGTGTGGGGGAAGAAGAGGGAAAGGCGTTTGGGAGTGCCCCTGGGAGGGAGAGTGCATGCAAGGACCTTCATTTTGAGAGTTAAAGGCTGGGCATTTAGGGGAGGATCTCAATAGAATAATTATCAGTTTTATGCTGATGTGCTCAAATAAAATTTATTCCCTTGATCTGTGCTTGGATGTGGTTGGCAAATAGCACTAATTAGATTTCTGCTATCTATCTCCCTGAGTAGGGTGTTTTAAGCTATTTACCTTCTGGTTGGAAAGAAGTGTATGCATTTACTTTTTTTTTTATTCCTAATCTGAGGATATTTTTCCATTTATCATCAGGTAGAGTGGGAGGGAGGGAGAGAGACAGAGACAGAGAGAAACATTGATGTGATAGAGCCACATCGACTGGTTGCCTCCCGCTGGGGACAAACTTCAACCAAGGTACGTGCCCTTGACTGGAATCAAACCCACGACTTTTTCGTCTGTGGGTCAATGCTCTAACCACTAAGCAACCAGCCAGGGCTAAGCATTTACTCTTTTTTTTTTTATCCTCACCCGAGGACACTTTTCCATATTTTGTTCAGATAGAGTGGGAGGGAGAGAGAGAGAGAGAGAGAGAAACATCGATGTGAAAGGGACACATCGAGTGGTTTCCACCCACACCACCCAACCCGGGCTGGGGACAAACTGCAACCGAGGCACGTACCCTTAGCTGGAACCAAACCCTGGTCTCTCTGGACCGCAGGCCAACACTCTAAGCGCTGAGCCAAACCGGCCAGGGCAATACTTCATTTCTTTTTATGGCTGAGTTATATTTCATTTTATAGAAATACCACATTTTGTTTATTCATCAGTTGATAGACATTTGGGTTGTTCCTACCTTTTCGCTATTGTGAGTAGAGCTGTTTTCAGTTATTTGGGGCTGGCCCACTTTTTAAATGATTAAAGTCATGCTTTTAATTTCCTTCATTAAGCTTGTAATTTTATAAGGCATCATAGTCACTCAGCCTGACCTCTGTTAATTTGTTTCCTTTTCCTCTGTTATGGGATTTACTTAATTTTTTGTCAGTACTAGTGTAAACTTTACTGTTGTAAGACTAATATCTGTGATAGTCTTATAGATGTGCAGTTAATGTGAAGTTATATGAAAAATATACATGGGGTTACAGTGTTTTATGAAATAAAATAGTGAATGTTTCTGAATTTAGGGCTTCACATCTGTTTTAGCATACAGAGATTATAAACTCTACAGTTTTGATTTACCCTATTCTTGGTGGCCCCTAGAGGGATAAAGAGTGGTCACTGAGAAAGGATGATAAAATCATTGCCTTGAGTGTTTTCAACTGTATATGTTTACCTTTTGCTTTTAATGATTATACCCGTAGTTCTATAGAAGGTCTTCAAGTATAGAGAACTAATAGGTTTTAGAGATTTGTTGATCTAAAAATAAAAGTGAGAAACAAAAGTGAGAGTCAACAAGCATTATTTTGAGATCCGAAAGAATAGCTATTTGGGAAGCACTGATTCAGGCAGAAACCTGAATATTGTTCCTAGTAAGGGAGCAAGGGAAAGGATAACAATGACATCAGTAGAAGGAAGGCATTTCTATAGGTGCAGATAAGCTAAAAATAGTGATGCTAATTCTAAAGAATGATTAGTTTTCAGTCTGGTAGTCATAATATATGCTTTCTTGTTCTCTTTGCGAACAGCTGTTTGGGATGCCGTGCTTTAGACTCACTCCAAAGGTTATTTTGCAAAGTTTTAATATTCTAAAGGTTTGAGGTGTAAGACTGGCAAGGCAGTTACTCTGGGATGGTGGCCGCTCTGAGTCTATTTTAAAGCGGCTCTGTTTATATTACTTTTTTCAGATTGGAAGAAAAATAAGAGCTATTGAAGCTAGATGTCTTTTGAAGACAATGTACAGATGTAATTTGTATTCACATTAATGGAAGAATCAGGGCCCAGAAGGTTGAAAGCATCCTTTATTCTCCCATAGGTCCAGTCCTTACAAATTTTTCACACTTCCTGTTGTCAAGGCCTTGTAGGTTGAAAGGTCTTGTGAAATGCCCATTGAATCCACTAGTGTGATCAATGCAGAACATTTCTGAGTAATTCCCATCTCTCTTACTGCTTTATTTTCTCTTTTCTGTTGCTTATTCCTCTTTCTCAAGAGACGTGTTGGTGTTACTTCAAAAATATTTATAAATTCTCCTCCCCAAATCCAAAGTGTCTGAGGAACTTGTACACCTCTTATTTAATTCAATATTAAAACTATTTGAGCCCTGGCCAGTTTGGCTCAGCGGTTGGAGCGTCGGCCTGCAGACCAGAGAGTCCTGGGTTTGGTTCCCACTAGGGGCACCAAAAAAACAAACAAAAAAAAAACTATTTGAGCCCAGCTGGTGTGACTCAGTGGTTGAGCATCGATCCATGCACCAAGAGGTTGCCGGTTCAATTCCTGGTCAGGGCACATGCTCAGGTTGTGGGCCTGATCCTCAGTGGGGGGCATGCAGGAGGCGTCCAATCGATGTTCTCTCTCATCGATATTTCCATCTCTCTCCCCCTCTCCCTTCCTTTCTCTCTAAAACCAATAAAGGGGGGGAAACTATTTGAATGCCTTCTTTGTATAATTATTTTGCAAGACCATTTAAATTAATACAGAATTGAATAAGATATGACCCTGTTTTTAAGGAATATTTCAATCTTTTACATTTCTTTACGTGAAGAGACGTGGCTCAGTATAAGAGGCATGAGGGAGAGACCATGTTGTAATAAAAATACAAACACTCAACTTTCTTTGTGTGATTTCATATACTTTAAATCAAAGATTACCTTAAAATGACTGTGAAGTGTCTGACCTTTGTAAGGATGGGGCCACTTAGATCAGATTTTTTCCTTTGGAAACATCTGGGACAGTGTAGTTACACTAATAGATGCATCCTTGGGTTTGGTGAAGCATGACTGGGTAAGGAATTTGTGTTTATCTTTTACTTATTACTTAGTAGTCAGCTATTGCTAAGACATAAGTGTTGAACACAGTGGCAATTCTGTTGTGTCTGTTACTTTCTCAAGACTCCACACTTGCTTCTCTTAGAAGAATGATTTTCTCACATTTTACTGAGCACATGAAGCCAGTTCATCAGTCTCCTTTTTTCCTTCACAACCTATGATTTTCATCATACCCACCCCACTCAATTTCACTTTCTTTCTGAAGAATGACATACATGATCTCTGATGAAGCTAATCCTTTTCCTAGTCTCCTTCCTAGGAAGGAGCTACCCCATTCCTTCTTATCTCCTCAAAGACCTACTAGCACTTCGTTATTTTACTCTACGTGGCATTTCCAGTCCCCTTTCCCTCAGGTGTTTTTCAAATGCCCTGTATGTGAGGTGCAATAAATTCCAGGGTTCTGTCTTGAGGGGGGCAGATGTCAGTAATTAGGGTACACTGGAGTGAGGGCTCTGATTGAGGTTCTAGGGATACATAGGTGGGCATCAAAACTATGTCCTTCTGTGGGCAGATTTTGTAAAGGAAGGCTCAAAGAGGTTTCTTGGCTGGATAAGGAGTTTGCAGGCTGAGGGAGTAGCATTTTAGGAAAAGGGAATAAATCGCAGGTGCAGCTCTAGAAGCACCATTCTATGCCGTGTAAAGGAAGTTGGGTATTCATTTGGTCATTTGTTTATTTAACAAAAAATTACTGAATGTCCGCTTTGTGCCAGGCATTGTGCTAGGCTGTGAATATAGACTGGGGAATAAAGTCAGACACAGTCATTGTCCCCAAGTAGTTTACAGAATGATGGAGAAACAGCTGTTAACAAATAACATAAACACATTACTGCAAAGTGTAATAAAGACAAGCAGGGGGAAAATGGGGCCCAAATAGATTTTTGGGAACAGAGAGTATGTCTTATCAGCATTGTATATTCAGTGCCTTTTATAATTCATGGCTTATAGTAGATGTTCACTGAAATTTGTTTGCTTAAGTTATTTCCTTATTCAGCTGATAGACAAAGATGATTTGAGAATAGTTAGCTTCCTGTCCTCTAAGCTCTGCTCTCAAAATGATAAACTTCTTTATTTCTTCAGGACCGTGTTTAAACCTCCCTCGCTCCATGTACAGTTGATCATTCCTTAACACTCACCATCGTTTTGCAGTTATTTGTTTCCATGTTTGTCTTCTTCACAAGGCTGTGAGCTTCATGATGGTACAGTGATTGGCCCAGAGCAGGTGCTTTATAAATGTTGAATTAGTAATCAGGAGTTCAGGAGTTTACTAACATTTCTGTACTTCTCTCTTCAAATTTGCCAGGCTGCAGGAATTAGTTGATCGAGTGCTGGAACGTTTTCAGGCATCTGGACTAATCGTGAAAGAGTGGAATAGTGTGAAACTCCATGCTACTGTCATGAATACTCTATTCAGGAAAGACCCCAATGGTAAGTCCTCCATAGAACTGGAGCACAGTTTGTCATTAGTAAGGCCGAATGATATCATCTCTGAAGTTTGAGTAGGATGGGATATCAAATAATTTCTGATATATCTTCTTATTTGAATTTGTTAGGCTTTTTTTAATGAGCACAGTAGAAATGTGGAGGGACATATCTAGCATGAGAATGTGACCATTCCAAATCTTTTATTTCTATTATACATAGGATTGTCAGATTTAGCAAATAGAAATACAGGATGCTCAGGTAAATATTAGGTAAACAATGAATAATTATTGTAATGTTTGTATGTCCCATGCAATACTTGCTGGCTTATTTTGTTGTTTTTTCTTTTTAACTCATCTTTATTGTTGAGTGTATTACAGATGTCCCCCCCTTTTTTTCCCCATTTACCCTCTCTTCCCCAATCCCGCCCCCCTCCTGCCTTCTCTACACTATTGTCAGTGTCCATTGGTTATGCATATATACATAGAAGTTCTTTGGTTTATCTCATCCCACCCTCCCTCCCCCCTTCCCTTTGAGGTTCATCAGTCTAATGACCAATTTATACTTCTTTTTTTTCTTTATTAATATATTAGAGAGACAGAGGAAGGGAGAGGGAGAGAGAGATGGAAACATCGATGAGAGAGAACATCGATTAACCGCCTCCTGCATGCCCCCACTGGAGATCAGGCCCACAACCTGGGCATGTGCCCTGACCAGGAATCTAACTGGTGACCTCTTAGTGCATGGGTCAATGCTCAACCATTAAGTCACACCGGCCGGGCCCAATTTGTACTTCTTAATCCCTTCATCTTTTTCACCCAGCCCCCCGCCCCCCAAACCCCTACTCGTCTGGCAAGCAACAAAAAGTTCTCTGTATCTATGAGTCTGTTTCTGTTCTGCTTCCTCATTTTGTTTGTAGATTCAATTGTTGATAGATATGCATTAATTGCCATTTTATTGTTCATATTTTTGTTGTTCTTCTCCTTCAAGAAGACTTCAACATTTCATATAAGACTGGTTTGGTGGTGATGAACTCCTTTGGCTATTTCTTGTCTGGGAAACTCTTCATATGTCCATCAATTCAATTTTTTTTTTTTAAATCCTCACCTGAGGACTTTTTTTTTGCATTTATCTTCAAATAGAGTGAGAGAGAGAGAGAGGGAGAGAAACATCAATGTGAGAGAGACACATCGACTAGTTGCCACTCACAGGACCCCAACCAGGGCCAGGGACAAACTGCAACCGAGGTACATGCCCTTAGTGGGAACTGAACCCAGTACTCTCTGGTCTGCAGGCCAGTGCTCTAACTGCTGAGCCAAGCTGGCCAGGGCTGTCCATCGATTCTAAATGATAGCTTTACAGGATAGAGTAATCTTGGTTGTAGGTCGTTGCTTTTCATCACTTTGAATATCTCTTGCCATTCCTTTCTGGCCTGCAAAGTTTCCTTTGAGAAATCAGGTCACAGTCTTATGGGAGCTCCTTTGTAGGTAACAAATGGCTTTTCTCTGGCTGCTTTAAAGATTCTTTCTTTGTCTTTAATCTTTGTCATTTTGATGATGATGTGTCTTGGTGTGGACCTCTTCAGGTTCATCTTGTTTGGAACTCTTTGTGCTTCCTGGACTTGTATGTCTGTTTCCTTCACCGAGTTAGGGAAGTTTTCTGTCATTATTGTTTCAAATAGGTTTTCAATTTTTTGTTCGCTCTCTTCTCCTTCTGGCATCCCCATGATGCAAATGTTGGCACACTTGAATTTGTCCCAGAGGCTCCTTACATTATCCTCATTTTTTTAAATTTTTTTTTCTTTTTGCTGTTCTAATTGGGTGTTTTTTGCTTCCTTAGATTCCAAGTAGATGGTTTTCTTCTTGGCTTTACCTACTCTACTGTCGATTCTCTGTAAATTATTCTTTATTTCAGTTAGTGTATCCTTCATTTCTAACTGGTCCTTTTTTATGTTGTTGATACTCTCGCTAAGTCCCTTGGAGGTCTCCTTGAGTTCCTTGAAGGTCTTACTAAGTTCCTTGAATGTCTCACTAAGTTCCTTGAGCAACCTTATAACTTGTGTTTTGAACTCTACATCTGATTGATTGCTCATCTCCATTTTGTTTAGTTCTTTTCCTGAAGTTTTGTTCTTTTCTTTCATTTGGGACATGTTTCTTTGTCTCCTCATTTTGGCTGCTTCCCTGCGATTGTTTCTATGTATTAGGTAGAGTTGCTAATGTCTCCTAGACTTCATAGGGTGGCCTATTGTTGTAGGTGTCCTGTAGGATCCAGTGGCACAGCCTCCCTGATCACCCCATCTGGGCCCTCGAGGTGCACCCATAGTTTGGACTGTACACCTTCTGTTGTAATTGAGTATTGGTTGCTGATGGCACATCAATGGGAGGGATTTACTCAGGCTAATTAGCTGCAAGGACTGGCTGTGCCCACTGACCACTGGCCTGTGACTACCTTGGAGGATCAGCTGTGTAGGGGCCCCCCACACAGAGCAAGACTCACTTCATCAGGGCTCTGGTACCCACTGAGTTCATTCATTGAGTGTGTCACTTGTGGAGGTGGTTGGGTGGTGGTGGTTTGATGTGATCTGAAGCTGTCCACTAGGTGTGCTGGCTCTGGGGTAAGGTCAGCCACTGCCTGTGTTCTGTCCGGGGCCACCTGGCATAAGCTACAGGGTGATCTGCCGATGGCTGCTTCTTGTGCTGGGCTTGGAGGTACCCAGGAAAAGCCAAGTTGTGAACCATGTTTGGCTGCTTCTAGTGCCAGGCTGAGGCCACTTATCGAGAGGTATGGGGCTGGATGAGACCAGATGCTGCTTGTTTGAGAGATTTTAGGAAACTCTAAAGCAGGATCCAAGACAGGCCAATCCTATGGTAAAGCCACTGGAAACAGCTTGGGTGGGCCCGAAAATTAGGTGGGGTGGGGCCTCAGGGAATCACCAGGGTGGGGCAAACAGTGTGAGCCAGGTTGCTGGAGTCCCAGATATGGCGGCTGTCTGCTGCCCCCAGGAAAGGCTCACCAAAGGAACAAAGGCCTCTGCCAGCACTTCTGCCTGAGAGCAAGCTGCTCTTCAGCCCTTGTCCAGAGGCCAAACAGCTCAGTTCTTCCCTGTATGACTCTGGTGCCTTTCAAGCTGCCTGCCCTCTGAGCTTAGAGGGACCAAGTCCGAATAAGTCCATGCACGGGCCCTTTAAGAGGAACTGCCTGGGGCCCCAGCAGCCTCAGCCTCCCTTAGCCCCAGTTCTCGCTGGTTTTTCCAGCCAGAAGGTATGGGGACTTCTCCTCCTGGCACTGGAACTCTGACCTGTGCCCCTGGTGTGGGACGGGGACCCCTCACTCCTCAGGGAGGACCTTCCCAGCCGAGGTGTCCCTCCTGATTTTTATCTACCACACGTGGGTGTGGGACCAGCCCGTCCGTGTCTTCGCCCCTCCGACCAGTTTTGGTGTGGCTGCTGCTTTAATTTCATAGTTGTAGGACTTCCATTCAGCTCAATTTCAGGTGGTTCTGAATGATGGTTGTGCTGTAGTTTAGTTGTAATTTTGATGTGGTTGTGGGAGGAGGCAAGTACCATCTTTACCTACCATCATGACCGGAAGTCCTTGCTGGCTTATTTTGAAAGAAGAAAGAAGAAGGAAGATTAAATAGTAAAAGTATATGTTAGACCAGTGGATATTTGGGATTGTCTAGAGACATTTTTGGTTGTCAGTTAGGGGGGCAGGGGTAGGTTTCTACTGGCTTCTAGTAGGTAGGGGCCAGGGATGCTGCCTAACCTTCTACAACACACAGTATAGACCCCAGCAATAAAGAATTATTCATTTCAATATGTCAATAGCACCTAGGTTGAGAAACCTTGTGTTAGAGTAATAATTCTTTTCCCTCATGGAATCTGAGCCTTCATATAAAAATGTCTTGTTTTAACCCTACATTTCAAAAAGGATCTTCTTTTCTTTCCCTCCCCACTTCCTAAGTAAAAGCTTCTCCTAACACATTCAGCATCTATCTGAGCAGAAGCCACAAATTCAAGTTCTATGCAGCTTCTCTTTCAAAGTTCTATACAAGCACGCCCTGGCCAGTTTTGCTCAGCAGTTAGAGCGTCAGCCCGTGGCCCATTGAGTCTTGGGTTTGATTCCGGCCAAGGGAATGTGCCTCGGTTGCGGTTTATCCCCAGCCCTGGTTGGGGTCGTGCAGGAGGCCACCAGTTGATGTGTCCCTCTCATGTCAATGTTTCTTTCTTCCCCTTTCTTTCCCTCTCTCTCCTTCCCACTTTGAAGATAAATGGAAAAATATGCTCTCGTGAGGATTAAAATAAAGAAATAAAATATACAAGCACCAAAAGCCCATATTTAGTTTTTTAAGCTCAGTTATTCCTTTATTTTTATTTTAAATTAATCACTTGTGGACAACTTACAGATACTCTTAAAAATACTGAATTGATAGCCAAATTGATTGGTATGTTTCTTAGGGCAGTTCTCATTTTGTCATTTACTCCATTTAAACTCAAGGTCCTTATTTATTTATTTTTAAAATGTTTTTTATTGATTTTTCAGGGAGAGAGGAAGGGAGAGAGAGATAGAAACAGCTTTGTGAAAAACATTGATTGGCTGCTTCCTGCACGCCCCCTACTGGAGATTGAGTCTGCAACCCCTGGCGTGTGCCCTGAGAATTGAAGTGGGACCTCTTAGTCCATGGACCATGCTCAGTCCACTGGGCCACACTGGCCGGGCTCAAGGTCCTTATTTATACCTCATCTCTTTCTTGAGCTGTGGAATCTCTAACTGGGGAATTGAGAGATGAATACCAGTTAATCTCCATTTTCACTTCTCTGTGAGCTGGGTTTGGAGAAATGAGCCTTAGAAAATAGAAAACAAGATACTAAACAGAATTGAATCAATATAAAGAGACCCCAAAATAGAGGGATAGAACCCACTTTTTAGGTTAGAAAATATTCTCAAGGACCTGTTTCTAAGCAGAATTGGCATCGGTAAAAATGTATTGGGTAGATAGCTATTAT